GGAGGGGAACGGGCAGTGACACTGCGCCAGGAGGGGAACAGGCAGTGACACTGCACCAGGAGGGGAACAGCCAGTGACACTGCGCCAGGAGGGGAACAGCCAGTGACACTGCGCCAGGAGGGGAACGGGCAGTGGCACTGCACCAGGAGGGGAACGTGCAGTGACACTGCACCAGGAGGGGAACGTGCAGTGACACTGCACCAGGAGGGGAACGTGCAGTGACACTGCACCAGGAGGGGAACAGGCAGTGGCACTGCACCAGGAGGGGAATGGGCAGAGACACTGCACCAGGAGGGGAACGGGCAGAGACACTGTGTGTTCCTTGACGGCTCCCTGTAACAGAGCACCTTCAATGTTGGAGCAGGGTCACTGGGAGCTTCTGAGCAAGTGCATCATAGGAACAATTTTTGAGAAAACACTTCCATGGCCTTGGCTGTGTTTGGTGGCTATTGCTGAGAGAGGTGGCCGTGGCTGGGACCTGTGGCCGAGATCTGTGGCCGTGGCTGATATCGGAGGCTGGGGTCGGTGGCTGTGGCTGAGATCCGTGGCTATGGGGAAGCATAGATAGGAAAAGAGACCAGGGAAAGTGTTTTTCCATTTACTGTTTTTAGTAGGAAAATTAAAATATTTTTATATTTTTTTCTTGTATAACCTGTCTGCAAGCTAAATGTACTTTGCAGATCTTCATAACTGTACACTTTGAACTCTAAGATTATATTTCAGGCTAACATTTAATTTTTGTTTCTCCTCTTTTTAAATAACAAAGAGCTACACTGCTTAGTGAATGGGTGTCCTAAGTGTCAACCATTTGTCCTAAGACAGGCTGATGCAGGAGACATCACAGTAAGTGGGCAGCTGTGTGGAGGGAGAGGGCGTTGTGCAAGAGAAGCACTCCACTTCCCTGAAGCTATGGATGTTGGGGACTCACGGTCTGTGTTGCTATGCAGTAGGCATGAGGTTGGAAACCTCGTGTGTGCCCCATGGTGTTCTGGAAATTGGAGGATGGAGAAAGCTGGACAGTAATGCAATGCAGGTCTCTACTCTTATCATTAACCATCTGTCTTACATTTAAGAGAAAAAGGAA